CACAATGAGCACTTGTCTCTCAAATACATCGTTAGAGTTGTTGGTTAGCTAGCAAGCACATTTTTGCTATATTAGCATTGATATGAAATCAGTCAAAACACCTCAAAACAAGACATGGTATCAAGATCAAGATGAAACGAGTCACTTACGATTCCCCACATGGCAATTTCTTGTCATTGTTGGTAGCCATCTGGTCATCCAGAATTACAACAACTCAAGGACTTCTGCCCCATTGAAGCATGCGCATTGCTTTCGTGACATTGTCAGCTAACCCATCTATAGAACTCAATGTGTATCTACTGATGGTGTTAAATCAGTTTTTCTGGGTCCTGAACTTTTTAACAATCAATAATATGGAGTTGTCTGTAAAAAATTGTAACCTGCACTTGTATGCCGATGATACTGTTGTGGATGGTATTGCTCCAACGGTTGGCCAGGCTCTATCTGAACTACAGTCTGCCTTCATTGTATTACAGAATAACTTTATTGACCTGAAATTAGTATTGAATGCAGGTAAATCTATGTATATGTTCTCTAGAGCGCATAAAAAGAACTGATGATTTAAACATGTGTACTTTGGATGGTGTCCATATTGATCGTGTCCCTGCTTACAAATATCTTTGCATCTGGATAGATGTAAAGCTGTCTTTTGAAAAGCATATTGAGTTAGTTAGGAAGCTGATAATTTGTTTGTGCTAATTCTATACAAATAGGTCACACCTATCGCTAAAGAGTAGAAAGCAGATTATTCAGTCAACGTTCCTATCGGTCCTAGACTATGGCGACATCATCTATATGAACGCAGCTTCCACTTCATTAAAGCCATTAGATCAAATCAAAATGTTATTGGTCACATACACATATTTAACAGATGTTATTGCGAGTGTAGCGAAATGCTTCTATGCAGCTTATCATAGCGCGCTGCGCTTCATTACGGGCAAATGTTTTAGTACTCATCACTGCATTCTCTACCAGAAAGTTGTTTGGCCCTCTTTGATGTAACATAGGTTGATACATTGCTGTGTGTTCATGCATTTACAAAAACTCCCACTGTACCTAACGTCATTACTAAACTTTAGACTTATGCATTACCACACCTGGTCTCAGGGATGGCTAAGTCTGGAAATTCCTTTGGTCTCTACGGAGTTAGGTAAATCAGCTTATTGTAGAGAAATTAACATTACATTCTCTGGCAACAGCTCTGACGGACATTCCTGCAGTCAGCATGCCAATTGCATACTCCCTCAAAACTTGAGACATCTGTGGCATTGTGTTGTGTGACACAACTGCACATTTTAGAGTGCCCTTTTATTGTCCCCAGCACAAGGTGCACCTGTGTAATCCTTGCTTCATGCTGTTTAATCATCTTCTTGATATGCCACACCTTTCATGTGGATGGATTATCTTGGCAAATGAGAAATGCTCACTAACAGTGCTGTAAAGAAATTAGTGCACAACATTTGAGAGAAATTAGCTTTTTGTGCAGGGCCCCGTGTAGCTCAGTTGGTAGAGCATGGCGCTTGCAACGCCAGGGTTGTGGGTTCGATTCCCACGGGGGGCCAGTATGAAAATGTATGCACTCACTAACTAAGTCGCTCTGGATAAGAGCGTCTGCTAAATGACTAAAATTTAAATGTTGTGCGTATGGAAAATTCTGGGATCTTTTATTTCAGCTCATGAAAACATAGGACCAACACTTTACATGTTGCATTTATATTTTTGTTCAGTATAAATTCAGGAGTAAATGTTGCTTAGCAAGTCACATAAGTCTGTGTGCAATAAGTGTTTAACATGATTTTTTAATGACTACCTCATCTCTGTACTCCACACATACAACTATCTGTAAGGTCCCTCAGTCGAACAGTGAATTTCAAATAGAGTCAACCACAAATACTAGAGAGGTTTTCCAATGCCACGCAAAAAGGGCACTATTGGTAGATGAGTAAAGAAAAGCAGACATTGAATATCCCTTTGAGCATGGTTAAGTTATTAATTACACTTTGGATGGTGTATCAATACACCCAGTCACTACAAAGATGCAGGCGTCCTTCCTAACTCAGTTGCCGGAGAGGAAGGAAACCGCTCAGGGATTTCACCATGAGGCCAATGGTGACTTTAAAACAGTTACAGAGTTTAATGGCTGGGATAAGAGAAAACTGAGGATGGATCATTGTTGTTACTCCACAATACTAATCTAAATTACAGAGTGAAAAGAAGAAAGCCTTTACAGAATAAAACTATTCCAAAACATGCATCCTGTTTGCAATAAGGCACTAAAGTAAAACTGCAAAGAAATGGGGCAAAGAAATTAACTTTATGTCCTGAATACAAAGCGTTATGGTTGGGGCAAATCCAACACAACACTGAGAACCACTTCATATTTTCAAGTATGATGGTGGCTGCATCATGTTATTGGTATGCTTGTCATTGGCAAGGACTAGGGAGTTTTTTTTTTAGGATAAAAAGAAACTGAATAGAGCTAAGCACAGGCAAAATCCTAGAGGAAAACCTGGTTCAGTCTGCTTTCCAATAGACACTGGGAGACAAATTCACATTTAAGCAGGACAATAACCTAAAACACAAGGCCAATTATTTGTTACTTTAATTTCTTACTTTTTTAGGGTATTCTTTCTTAAAACTGCATTGTTGGTTAACCTCTACGGGATCGGTGTCCCGTATACGAGATGGTTGAGCTAACGTGTGCTAATGTGATTGGCATGACCGTTGTAAGTAACAGAAAACTTTCCAGGACATAGACATGTCTTATATGGGCAGAAAGCTTAAATTCTTGTTAATCTAACTGCGCTGTCCAATTTACAGTAGCCATTACAGTGAAAAAGACCATGCTATTATTTGAGGAGTGCACAACAACAGAAAACATATCACGGCAACTGGTTTGATACATTCACCTCTGAAGGTAAATAATGTACTTACATTCAGTAATCTTGTTCTGATTTGTCATCCTAAGGCTCCAAGAGATAAAATGTAGCATTGTTTTGTTTGATAAAATCAATTTTTGTATTAAAATGTAGGAACTGGGTTTTACAGTTTGATCCCCTGCTGTCTCTGGCTCCACACCCACCCCGCAAGGCCATCTAGATGTGTGAAAGTTAGTGTATAAGCTAATGATCCATCATGTATGACATTCCTGGGAGTGTGTAAACTTACATTTTGTATTACCATATCATTTTTGTATGTTCTCTATAGTTATGTACTTGAAAATATATCAATTGACCAATTCGGCACATTTGGGCAGACTTGATAAAAAATAGTCCAGTATTGCAATGCTTCACTGGATCAATCTGAAACTTTGCACACACACTTCTGCAATCTAGTGGCCAAAATCTAAATTGCGCCTAAACTGCAATATTGTATTGTGGCCTTTCTCTTGCATTTCAAAGATGATGGAACAAAAAACAAAAATTGAAAACGCATGTTTTTTTGTTTGTATTATCTTTTACCAGATCTAATGTGTTATATTCTCCTACATTAATTTCACATTTCCACGAACTTCAAAGTGTTTCCTTTCAAATGGTATCAAGAATATGCATATCCTTGCTTCAGGTCCTGAGCTACAGGCAGTTAGATTTGGGTATGTAATTTTAGGCGAAAATTGAAAAAAAAGTGTCCAATCCTTAAGAGGCCTTAAGGGCTTGTAAGTAAGCATTTCACTGTAAGGTCTACACCTGTTCTATTTGGCGCATGTGACAAATACAATTAGATTTTTTGGATTTTATTTGAAATCCTTCTTTAACCGGTCTCCTCCCCTTCATCTACACTGATTGAAGTGGATTTAACATGATCTCAATAAGGGATCATAGCTTTCACCTGGATTCACCTGGTCAGTCTCATGGAAAGAGCAGGTGTCCTTAATGTTTTGTATACTCAATGTATATTTTGATAGACCAAAGTATCAGCTATCACACCATGTAAAGGGACAAACCTCATAATTCCTGCAGTCAGCATGCCAATTGCACGGTCCCTAAAAACTTGACACATCTGTGGCATTGTGTTGTGTGACAAAACTGCACATTTTAAGAGTGGCCTTTTATTGCCACACCTGTTAGGTGGATGGATTATCTTGGCAAAGGAGAAATGCTCACTAACAGGGATGTAAACTAATTTGTGCACACAATTTGAGAGAAATAAGCTTTTTGTGCGTCTGGTAATTTCTTGGATCTTATATTTCAGCTCATGAAACATGGGACCAACACTTTACATGTTGCGTTTATATTGTTGTTTAGTATAGAAATCATTGATAGTGCCTGCCATGCCATCACTGAAATTGTAAAGGGTAAAAAAATTACAGAACTGTTTTTTTTTTGTGAATGGAGGTCAAATTGAAGCCAAGCCTACTGCATTTTTGGCAATCTGGACCCTATTGAGTATTGTTGCAATCTTTGCAATAATGTTTGTCTCCTAAACAATTACTTTTAAAATGCTTTCAGCACAGATTGAATGAGAATGGAGGCCGTTTGCACAGTGCTTCTCCTCATTACCCTGACCAAAACATGTTGTGCAATAGATGTCAATGAATTTGCTCCTGCAGCTGGTTGTAAAGCTTTTCAAAGACCTTGTTATGGCTCTGTTTTTGAAGATAAATATTGGCTCATATGTGCTAATCTTTTGCATTAAAATAATAGATTACTGCCCCTCATTGTGGTTTGCCCTTTTAAACAAAGTAGAATACAATTTATTTATCCATCCAATATATCAGGGTGGAGACAACTACAGTATATTCAGGCCATTTTACATTATCAAGAGTGGACTGTAAAGTATAGAGATTTTATGGTTGCTATAGACAAACAGAAAACAAAGTGGTTTGCAGATGGCTCAGATGTACTGCTTGCTTATCATTAAACAATGATCATTATTTTCATGCCAGACACAGGTGGAATGTCCATCAAGACAGTCAACCCAGGAAACACTATATATATAGGCCTAAAGTCCCTCCATTCTCTACTCATAATAGTGGTGATATTTCACAGGAAGGATTTAAAATGGAGCCAATCCAGTGGCTGTGTGAGCAGCATCCATTACTGACGTACCAATGTTTTTCCGTTCCCTTTGCTTTTCTATTCTACGTCTTGGCTAAACAGGGATGTCTCTCTTTGACATACAGGTCTGTATTATCTATTTTATACCGCTATTGTAATATTATAAGTTGAAGATCAGGGCTATTTTAATTATTTTTTGCAACAAAAGGTCAGACCAATTATAATTTACTTTTAGTATACACACTTGTTTATACAAATTGTTTATCCACTGGTTAATCCACACTTGTTAATTCCAAATGGAGGTTCCAACAAAGGATTTCAATCAAACTGCCTATTTTGGTTGAGCGGTAGGAGGTATAAAAAGGAACTAAATACCTGTGAACACTGGTCTTGACAGGTACCTTTTCTTGGCATCCGGAGGCTGTATCCTAGCTGTTGTCACCATGGGTGTATACAGCTTGCTTCTGCTCGTCTCCACTGTGATCTTTGTGCTGCTGGTGTGTTCACTGAGCCCAGACCGTGTCCATCCATGGGTCTTTGGATTGCAGATGGGTTGGCAAACCTTCTGGCACCTGCTCATACAGTACAGAGAATACTACCTCAATGAGCCCACTGATTCCAGGTACAGCACTGTTCTTAATTCAGTCAAGACTTTCAAAAGGATGCTAGTTTCCTACATGTACTTGTGACTTAAATGTTTGTTGTCTTGGTTGTCTGTGCAGTAGATCTCATGAGCAAACCGTAATCTGGGGCTTGGGGGTCAATGAGTTCACAACGAAAACATAAACATCAGCTCCACAATAAGTACATTTGAAATAAAGTAATCGTTGTCTCCCAGTCCCAATCCACCAATAAAATGTGGAAAGTACAGAACTTAATCTCAGACTGTTTTACTTTTATTTTCTGTCAGGCTTCTCCTATCAGTGTCCTCCTTGATGCTACTCACCCAGAGAGTCACCTCCGTGTCAATGGACCTACAGGAGGGTGGCAGAGTGACATTAATGACCCAATCACAGGCCAAATGCCGGGTCTTTCTCCCACTCATCAGCTATGCCCTACACTTCACTGCCTTGCTCGGCGGACCCCTGTCCTCATTTGACCAATTTGTCTATTTTGTAGAGCAGATAACCATCAGCCCTCCTCCCCAGCCTTTGTCTGTTGTCTCCTACAAGGTCTTTCAGGTGTTATCTCTGGAGTGGGCTAGGAACTATCTCACTCATCTCCTCAGAGACAATGCCTCCAGTTTGTCCGTCTCCAACAACGTCCTCACTGATGTCTTGTGGGTATGGGGCCTTGCTGTGGTGTTGAGGATCAGATACTACTCCCACTGGAGGATCAGTGAGTGTCTGAATAATGCTGCTGGGCTTGGGTTCAGGGGGATGGTCAGGGAGGACGGCCCAAACTGGAGCGGCCTGTCTGACGGAGATCTTTGGACCACAGAGATGTCCTGCCAGGTGTCCGAATTTGCCCGTCGGTGGAATGGTACGACAGCTACATGGCTACGTAGGCTGGTTTTCCAAAGATGCAAAACTGCTCCGCTGGTAATGACGTTTGGGTTTTCAATCTGGTGGCATGGCTTACATATGGGTCAGTTTGTAGGGTTTCTTGTCTGGGCTGCAGCTGTGAGAGCAGACTACCAGATACACAAGTACTTGAAGCCAAAGCTCACATCTACTAGGAGGAGATTGGTGCACACCTGTCTGGGTTGGTTAAATACTCAGATGGTCATGGCGTGTGTTGTTATTGCAATCGAGCTTCGAAGTACTTCCTCTTTGAGAATATTGGGTCTGACATACACTGGTGTTTTTCCTCTTCTTAACGTTCTATTTATCTTCATTTTATGATAAGATCAAGAATAATCATAACATCTGGGTTTTTAAATGTTGCTGTAAAATGAATTAGTTGATGTTGTTCATAGTAATTGATGCTAAAAGCACACCTATTTTTGCTCAACAGTGCTAAGGCTTGTTTGTTTTTGTTTTGGAGGCCTGAAGGGGAAGGTATTGAGTTCTGGTAGAGTGCATCCATTTGATTATTTTGGAGCAATTGTTATCATATTTACACAACAGTATACCTTGTTGAATGCATCTACCAGCTGAGGGTCAGTGTAGATTTGTAGAAATTGAATGATTTCATAATAATTGTAAGGCTGTTGCATCTTTTTTTAGGTCTGTTAGAATTATAGGGTTGATTAGCTGTTCTTGACATAGATTTTCATAGAAGCCAGAGCTTAACATGAGCTTTATTTAGAGACATCACCCAATACGGTCAAGACTTACAAAATAATGGGTTGTGTACTACTATATAACTAGAATGTCCTCTGCACACTACAATGTAATTCTTGTGTTCTGAGAAGTTCTTTGTACATCTAGTTAATCATTTTGCAATAAAGTGTCTCTTCTTTCTTTCCACAAGTTTCCACAGACTATTCCTAAGAACAGGAGTAGTCCAAGGTTTCTGTTTGAAACAAATTTCTTCCAGCAGTCCTCTGGTTTGTTGATGTCCAATGTGTAAATCTACCCGATAAAGAGAAAAGCATCACAATCAGTCACATACATTGAAAATAGTTGTTGGGATGTATTGTCTTGAGTATTGTGGAATGATTCACAGTTGAGGGTTCTGTGTAAAACATTAACATAACCACATATAATTATATTTCTCTGCATAACCAAGGCGAAATCATTATTTAATCATCTCAAACTGAAATGTTAGCACAGAGTATATCAAATATACCCCCACCTGATGTGTGAGGTGAATAGCCACAGTGGACAGTGTTGCGTAATAAGGCAGAGTCTGTTCTGCATTGACCCCAGCCACAATCAGCCCTGACATCATGGCCACCATGAACCCACTGAGCCACGGCTTGGTCTGCTCCTGGAACCTCAATGCTGTAGACTTGACCCCTACCCTGATGTCGTCATCTTTGTCCTGGTGACAATAGGAAGGAATGTAATGCACACATTATAAACAGAGTCGTCATTCACAGAACAATCTAGAATATTCTCCAACAAACAGCATGAACTGAGGAAGCACCAACATTTGCAACAGCAACCTTAAATTGCCACAACATGACAGTCATAGCACGTGTACACTTAATACCTGATGGGCATAGATGGTGTCATAAATTAATGTCCACATCACTCCTGAGAAATACAGAGGTAGGCACACCGACCACTCACAGGAGCCCATGACCGCTGACCATCCAAGCAGTGCTCCCCAATTGAAGGTCAGTCCTGAGGAGAAACAAGCGTTTTATTTTGTTTACAGAGTATTCAGAAAGTATTCAGACCCCTTGAATTTTTCCAAATGTTGTTACGTTACAGACATATTTTTTTATAGCTAATTTATCACAAAAAACCCACAGGAAATATCACATTTACATAAGTACTCAGACCCTTTACTCAGTACTTTGTTGAATCACCTTTGGCAATGATTACAGCCTCAAGTATTCTTGGGTATGAGGCTCCAAGCTTGGCAAACCTGTATTTGGGGAGTTTCTCCCATTCTTCTCTGCATATCCTCTCAAGCTCTGTCAGGTAGGATGGGGAGTGTCGCTGCACAGCTATTTTCAGGTCCCTCCAGAGATGTTTGATCGGGTTCAAATCCGGGCTCTGGCTGGTCCACTCAAGGACATTCAGAGACTTGTCCCAAAGCCACTCCCGAGTTGTCTTGGCTGTGTGCTTAGGGTCGTTGTCCTGTTGGAAGATGAACCTTTGCCCCAGTCTGAGGTTCTGAGCACTCTGGAGCAGATTTTCATCAAGGATCTCTCTGTACTTTGCTCTGTTCATCTTTCCCTCGATCCTGACTAGTCTCCTAGTCCCTGCCGCTGAAAAACATCCCCACAGTGTGGTGCTGCCACCACCATGCTTCACCGTAGGGGTGGTGCCAGGTTTCCTCCAGATGTGACGCTTGGCATTCAGGCCAAAGAGTTCAATCATGGTTTAATCAGGCCCAGAGAATCTTGTTTCTCATGGTCTGAGAGTCCTTTAGGTGCCTTTTGGCACTCATGTGCCTTTTACTGAGGAGTGGCTTCCATCTGGCCACTCTACCATAAAGCCCTGATTGGTGGAGTGCTGCAGAGTTGGTTGTCCTTCTGGAAGTTTCTCCCATCTCCACAGAGGAACTCTGGAGGTCTGTCAGAGTGACCATCGGGTTATTGGTCACCTCCCTGACCAAGGCCCTTCTCCCCCGATTGCTCAGTTTGGCCAGGCGGCCAGCTCTAGGAAGTGTGTTGGTTGTTCCAAACTTCTTCCATTTAAGAATGATGGAGGCCACTGTGTTCTTGGGGATCTTCAATGTTGCAGAAATGTTTTGGTACCCTTTGCCCAGACTGTGCCTCGACACAATCCTGTCTCGGAGCTCTACGGACAATTCCTTCGACCTCATGGCTTGATTTTTGCTCTAACATGCACTGTCAACTTTGGGACCCTATATAGACAGGTGTGTGCCTTTTCAAATCATGTCCAATCAATTGAATTTACCACAGGTGGACTCCAATCAAGTTGTAAAAACATCTCAAGAATGATCAATGGAAACAGGATACACCTGAGCTCAATTTCGAGTCTCATAGCAAAGTTTCTGAATAGATATGTAATTAAGGTATTTCTGTTTTTTTATTCTTAATAAATTTGCAAAACAATCTAAAAACCTGTTTTCGCTTCGTCATTATGGGGTATTGTGTGTAGATTGATGAGGATTTCCTCCCCTCTTTAATCCATTTTAGGGTAAGGCTGTAACGTAACAAAATGTGGAAAAAGTCAAGTGGTCTGAATACTTTCCGAATGCACTGTATATGGCAGCTCTATCGCAAAGACCAACTCAGTGGCCTTGTGGTTAGTGTGCGCCCTGAGATCGGAAGGTTGGGAGTTCGATCCCTGGCCGAGTAATATCAAAGACTGTAAAAATGGGACCCGATGAGTCTCTGCTTGGCACTCAGCATTAAGGAGCCAGATTGGGGGTAAGGCCCTGCGGCAAACTAAAGTCCTGTCCAGGGGGTGTACTTATACATCAAGCTGCCTCACGCTACAGAAACAGGAGATAGGCTCCTGCTTAGAGCTGTGACGATAAACCGAAAATTACTGACATTTCCTCTTACCAAAGCATTTTGCCACATAACGTTCCTGTAGATTGATTTAAAACCATTATTCGGTCTACAATAATAGCCTTTGCATTATGTTGATTCCTGCTATGAAAGTATCTGCCTGTCCCTGTTTCACTGGCAACTGCTGACTCTCACTCCCTCTCCACACTGTGCGCATGGAGGAGGGAGAGATGCATTCTGAGAAGCACAAGCATATGACCGTTGCGCAAAATGCTATTGCGGGAAAAATACAGTTTTCAAAGCAACTACTGTTGTTCTAGTTACAGAGAGAGTCACAGCTTTCTGTGAGTATATCATGTATTTCTCACCTCTTAATATTGAATTCATGGCACCACTTTACAACCGGAGTAGGATGTAGTTAGTATGGTTTTGCAATGAATAGGCAGCGCCATTTGCAATGAATAGGCCTACATCAAGTAGCCTAGGCCTAGCGCTGGAAAGTTTTGTAGGACATTACATTTACTGATAGATTAATCGATTAGCCTACATGGCTATTTAGCAACCATATCACATTTAGCAATCTAGCTAAGTGTTTTGAGTTCCCACTTCCTTAGGTGGTGAATAATATAGCCTCGGACAATATGCACAAAGATGTTGGCATATTCTCTGAAGAGCCTAAAATAAATCAGATCATTCTGGATCCTATTTTGCCAGGTGGCACATCAAAATATCAATCATGCATTTCCTGGATATGTTAGATGAAACAACTTACTTGTTTTATCATAGGCTACCATCTCCGTTGTTTTACTTGGCACAGATTATTTTTGTGTCTAGAGCCCTGCTGCTAATGTAAAGTAACTGTCCATCAAAACATTTATTTATCATTGTATTGGTTGTTATCGAGCAAAATAGTTACATTTAATATGACTGTTGTCCAGAACGCCCAGCTCTAGCACCTCCCCAAAAAATATTTTATTGTAATTTAAATCGCTGATTCATTGTTATCGTAAAAAATGGGTACATTTATCGCGATATGGATTTTTGTCCAGATCGCCCTATGAGCCATTCTGGCTCATGCAAGGGTAATTACTTCTCTAACTCTCTATTGCAAAGGGGTAGCTATTATTTGTGACAATTGAAACAATGCAGATTAAAAAGTATTTACAAAGACATACCCAATACAAGCTGTGGCCAGTAGGTGATCCTCTTCATTAGTGGATATGTGACTACCAGAGATAGGGAAGCAGCTCCAAGAGCTATACTGTGAATGGGAAAGTCAAATGTCATCACATCTGTCCAAGTGGTCTGCTCTTGGACAAGACAGCGCTCCGGTCACAATTATGTGCACTTTCACAATCTAGCCTTAATCTAATTTTAGAAAAGTATTTCACAGCTGGCTAATATGTTCTTTGGTTTGAATGGGGAATGTACCTGTAATAATTGAGGCAAAGCAGGACCCCCAGTGCCAGAGAAAGCTGACCTCCCAAGAAGACTAGGGCCTGCATCTGAGAGATCTCCCCTGCAGCAATTGGCCGAGTAGCTGTCCTGGCAACCTGAAAAAAAAAAAAAGATGAGGCAAAAACATGAATACAGTCGAAAGCCTTTCAATTAAGTCCTATGATTGTATAATTTCCATGTCAGTTTGTTCCATTTGGTGCTGCTTTGAGTAAAGATTAATTGCTTTTGGTCATAAACTATGTGACTTAAAGACACCCTCCAGCGATTTTTAAAAACTTTTCCTGTTGAAAAACGATATCCCAAATCAAAAGTACACACACTAAAGGACAAAAAAAAGTATGTTTTGAGCTAAATTAAAGTAGTAGTTAGTCTGATGGTGCCCCGCTGATTTCATCAGCCTCCTCCCTTGCTTGAGGAACAAAAGCACTTGTGCGATGTCATGAGACACCTGGACCACCTATTGAGATGTGCCTTTTTGTTAAGTAAATCGGGTGTTCATTTTATTTTATTGTATTTATTTAACCTTTATTTAACTAGGCAAGTCAGTTAAGAACAAATTCTTATTTACAATGACGGCCTACCAAATGTAAAAGGCCTCCTGCCGGGACAGGGGCTGGGATTAAAAATAAAAATATAGGACAAAACACACATCATGACAAGAGAGACACCACAACACTACATAAAGAGAGACCTAAGACAACAGCATAGCATGGCAGCAACACACGACAACACAGCAAGGTAGCAACACCACATGACAACAACATGGTAGCAACACAACATGGCAGCAGCACAACATGGTAGTAGCACAAAACATGGTACAAATATTATTGGGCACAGACAACAGTACAAAGGCAAGAAGGTAGAGACAACAATAAAAAAAAATGACATTTACATTTTTAGTCATTTAGCAGACGCTCTTATCCAGAGCGACTTACAGTTAGTGAGTGCATACATTTATTTATTTATTTTTTACTGGCCCCCCGTGGGAATCGACCCACAACCCTGGCGTTGCAAACGCCATGCTCTACCAACTGAGCTACATCCCTGCCGGCCATTCCCTCCCCTACCCTGGACGACGCTGGGCCAATTGTGCGCCGCCCCATGGGTCTCCCGGTCGCGGCCGGCTACGACAGAGCCTGGATTCGAACCAGGATCTCTAGTGGCACAGCTAGCACTGCGATGCTGTCGTAGTGCACGCGAAGCAGCCACAACTGTCAGTAAGAGTGTCTATGATTGAGTCTTTGAATGAAGAGATGGAGATAAACTGTCCAGTTTGAGTGTTTTTTGCAGCTTGTTCCAGTCGCTAGCTGCAGCAAACTGAAAAGAGGAGCGACCCAGGGATTTGTGTGCTTTGGGGACCTTTAACAGAATGTGACTGGCAGAACGGGAGTTGTATGTGGAGGATGAGGGCTGCAGTAGGTATCTCAGATAGGGGGGAGTGAGGCCTAAGACGGTTTTATAAATAAGCATCAACCAGTGGGTCTTGCGACGGGTATACAGAGATGACCAGTTTACAGAGGAGTATAGAGTGCAGTGATGTGTCCTATAAGGAGCATTTGTGGCAAATCTGATGGCCGAATGGTAAAGAACATCTAGCCGTTCGAGAGCACCATTACCTGCCGATCTATAAATTACATCTCCATAATCTAGCATGGATAGGATGGTCATCTGAATCAGGGTTAGTTTGGCAGCTGGGGTGAAAGAGGAGCGATTACGATAGAGGAAACCAAGTCTAGATTTAACCTTAGCCTGCAGCTTTGATATGTGCTGAGAGAAGGACAGTGTACCGTCTAGCCATACTCCCAAGTACTTGTATGAGGTGACTACCTCTACACCCTCAGAGGTAGTAATCACACCGGTGGGGAGAGGGGCATTCTTCTTACCAAACCACATTACCTTTGTTTTGGAGGTGTTCAGAGCAAGGTTAAGGGCAGAGAAAGCTTGTTGGACACTAAGAAAGCTTTGTTGTAGAGCGTTTAACACAAAATCCAGGGAGGGGCCAGCTGAGTATAAGACTGTATAATCTGCATATAAATGGATGAGAGAGCTTCCTACTGCCTGAGCTATGTTGGTGTAAATTGAGAAGAGCGTGGGGCCTAGGATCGAGACTTGGGGTACTCCCTTGGTGACAGGCAGTGGCTGAGACAGCAGATGTTCTGACTTTATACACTGCACTCTTTGAGAGAGGTAGTTAGCAAACGAGGCCAAAGACCCCTCAGAGACACCAATACTCCTTAGCCGGCCCACAAGAATGGAATGGTCTACCATATCAAAACCTTTGGCCAAGTCAATAAAAATAGCAGCACAACATTTCTTAGATTCAAGGGCAATGGTGACATCATTTAGGACCTTTAAGGTTGCAGTGACACATCCATAACCTGAGCGGAAACCAGATTGCATACCAGAGAGGTAAATGAGGTGAAAAGGAGACTGGAGTAGGCCTTTAACAAAAGGGATGAGTATGCCTATACTATGAAAAAGTGATAACTAGTGGATCACCTTCTTGTCAAAGTCCTTGTCCCACATGTCATTGATGGTGCAGCCAGCCCCTCTCATCAGCAGGGCCCCAGTGCCGAATAACGTGAGCATGCCCAGATGTGGGAGGCAGCCTGGGTCTGCAGCCAGGCCGATGCTCCAAGTGCAAGGCAGGTACAACAACCATGTTCCTATATCACAAAGAACAGGCAATCAGATCAATGTTTCAAAACATTGAATGAAGAACAACTGATGGCGTCTCAGACACCTCATACATACACATCTTAACCCATCACATTCATGGGAATTGGCCTATATGAATAGGGCTAAATTGAAATGTTTCTTACAGAAGAACTATGAAAATCATTTGCATAACCACGGTAGCAAATGAAAGGGAACAGTTTTGAGATAATGGGAAAATTATTAGACCAAAAGGTGAGTACACAAGAGTTCACCTGACACAAGACTGAATCCAAACATTACACTGTTGTTTTTATGTGCATTTTACATTTACTGTACTTTGCCGTATTTGTTGATAACGAAATCTGAAAATACTCTGGATACATTCAGTAAAATGATAAGACTATTCCTGGAAAATGTGGGGTAGGGGCAACATAAGACAAAAAAATGACAAGGGTTTGAGTGAGAGGACTAACTTATGTCTCCAAGTGGGCACACACACCTCTCCAACGTGTGCAGTTCCTAAGCTATTTCAATGCACTTTTATGACTCAAAGAAGAGTCTTCAACTATAAAGGTACTTTTTGGAGCTCTACTAGCTGTGCTGTTGAGGAACTAGAGAAAGCACACTTGTAGTTGTTTGTTTGGAAAACAACCCTGAAATCACTCAATTACTGTCGATGTTTACGCAATCCAAAAACGGTCCATTAAAAACCACAATCTGGGTTAGGTGGGCATGATTTGAAAGCTTGTTCTATTGCCAACATGACTAGTGAAATAAAAAAATATGATCTTACAGTGTTAGGCTTTCACAAGGCAATTCAGAAAAATGGATTGTAAATTTGGTGTGTCATGAGTGCATTTAGGTGTGTATGCTGCGACAAATTGTTTTCACAATAAACAAACACAGGCTCATTCTGTTCAGAACAACTCAGGTTATGATGCCATGTCATCTTGTAACTGTACATCAAACATAGTGATCACAAACGTTGACACTGTATATTACATGAGTTTTATGATTGGAAATGTGAAGTGCACATTTGGACTCACGGGTGTTTGGCTTGCTTGTATGACATCAAAGCGGTATTTATTATAATCCTCAACATCTCATCTTTCAAAATACATAGAGTAATCTTAATTTATATAATTTCCCTCACTCAGACAACAAAAAATATGCAAAAGTTGCCCAATTACCAGGAGAGATGGTGGCAACTTCTTGTTGTGCGTGGTGCTCAAGTTCAGAACGGCTGTCAGTCAAAATCCATACAGCGCTGTAAAGCGCAGAGTCAGAGCTCTTACGTCATGTATAGCATGTTACTGTAGAGCCACTACGTTCCAATTTAGGTGTTTATTAGTGCCCAAATCTAGCCATTTTCAACCCGTATACGGGTACGAGTGTAAAGGGCTACCATTAAACAGACAAAATTATAATACGATTCCAGACTTAACTCTATAGTCCATCAGTTATCCACCTACCACATAATAGAACATTCAAATCCTAAATCAACATTAAAGCTACTAACCGATTGGTTTGTCAAGTCTCATTAATCTGAGGTAGGGTTGCACGGGCGCTGGGGCAGAGTTTACAATCCCAGCCGCTGACAGGCTGAACAGTCTTTTCCCACAGGGCGTGGTGGTGGCTTCCAGTCTGGTTGGTGGATGTAACAACCATGCTCGCGGGCTGTGGAAGACTCGTTTAAAAACACTATTTTCTGGGTGGTGGGTAGAGACCATGGTTTTCCTCTGCTTGTTCAGGTATTTGCTGGAGAGGCTAGGGAGGTTGGAGTAGCAGGTTCCATGGTGAAGCCTCCTCCAGGTGCTCAGAATGACCTGAGAAGTGAATCTGGCAGGGAGCATCATCTCCTCTCTCTGCAGTCAAACGCACATTATCCTCACTGACACTTGTCACATCTGGAGTGAGGGGAAACATGAGGGGAACATGACACGTTGTCATTCATATACAAATGATGTCCTTTGTCACGAAGGACAGACCACACACAATAGGGTTGAACTCTTTGCCTTTACAGACTAGTGTTTTATTTTGTGCCATAGCTGAATGGCTTTCCATGACTGACATACACCATCACAGACTGTGGAAAGACAAAGATAATCCACTATTTGAGTTTAGCTAACATGTAGCTAGCAGATTGTAACAGGCTCCATTAAGTAATCCAACATTGTGTATGCCACCATTTTGTCAATTTCAAATCTTCTCTCATTGATCAAGACAGGCGAGTGTCATGACATGCAGCACTTGGGTGGATACCCACCGGTCTCAATCAATGAGAGATTTAAAATAGACAAGATGGCAGCGTATACATTGTTGGATTACTTCATAGAGCAAACAATGGATTTAATTTAATAATGGAGCATTCTCTAAATTCAAACGAACCCCCTGCAACTAGACATGGACGTTTAGAAGACATTGGTTGTCTTCCAAGTCGGGAATTGAGGTAGTATCGACAAGTTAATGTTGGTCGGAAATTCTGGAGTATTTTCTCAATTCCAACGAACCCCCTGCAACTAGACATGGACATTTAGAAGACATTAGTTGTCTTCCAAGTCGGGAATTGAGGAAGTATCGACAAGTTAAGGTTGGTCGAAAATTATCTGTGCTACTCCAAACAGTACCTATCTCTAATAGCGCCTATCAGCCAGCTAGACCAGAGTAATTGTCTGACTATGCGATATTGTTAATAGCTACTGTTCCTAACAGTTATCAGACAGATAGCATGAGCTATCTAGTGAATTCATAATAAACCGCAAGCAGGCAATGCCACACTAAGTAGCTAGCTAACGTTAGCTAGCCAAGTGTTTTGTTACATTTGCAATTCACAATGTATGTCCTGCCGTGAATCAATGAGTCTTAATAATCTATAGCCTAGGCAGCCGATAGTGGGCTCTGGATCTGCACTATCGCCACCAATTTTCGGACAATTTAGGATGTTGCACACCCTTGGCTGAACGCAATGTGCAACATCATAAATTGTCCGAAAATAGGAAAATGGTCTTTAATAAAATACGCATACTTTCGACGATTTTTCCCGCCTTCTCGCCATTAAAGCTAGTTAGAGGAACATGTTACCTTTTCAGCCTTAATAGGACTCTGTATGTATAAGCAGGTCCACGGGGGACACGACCGCCGGGAATGCACATCAAGCCTAGTGCATGTGCGCTGGATCTCCACTATCGGCCGCCTCGTCTAAATAATCTATGGATTCAGGTTAGAGTTCACTTGCTATATTATTGGAGATTGTAGGACGATATGTGTTACATTTTATATTTTTCACTGAACTGTCATATTTTTACAAAATATGCAAACTTACCTTGCTAAAATGACTTCCTGTTCTTTCTCGCGGAATGTTTGGTACGACATGTTAAATGTTCCGCCAGAAACAATCGCACGGTCGGTTGATGTTCCGCTTGTGGGACGATATTCCACGTGGGATATCAAAACAACACCAATTCTGGCACAGCTAATTGTTTTATGATCATATTTTTTCAGATTCGTGGTTGACACTTATGAAAGCCAAGTGGAAACTAATAAATTCGTCGCTAGTAGATTTTAGGATGTCTACGTTTCTAAATTGAACTTTATTTAGTAAAATACGAAAGATGACACTCACACGCAAGTCTTAGTTAAAGTGGTTACAATTTATAGGTACAGTGTATGTTCAGTTGACTTTCTTTCAAAATAAATCAGTATGCACGAGGGCCCATCAGAGACAGTAAGGGATGGGCTTTAGCGGTAATTGGCAGATTTTTTTGCATTGCACCGCCACCCCGTTTCTTGCTTGACTGCAGAGTTCTTTGTAGTATCTAGCTTCTGGTCACCAGCGTAGCTTGGTCCGCAGACGTAAGAAGACACATGAGGTTGTTGTAGGAGCGGGGAAAAAATGGCGACGAACATCTACGAAGCTAGCTAGCTAGCACATTGAGGACTCAAAACATTGTCTGAGGCGCCCATTTTCTCGGTAGGAACGTGTAAGTAGGCTATTCAATCTATTCCGTATTGGTAAATTATTCTACGTTTTGTAACTGTTTGCATTGTAGCTAAAACATTTTAGATTTATAAGGTGGATCAAATAGAGGGGTTCAGATTCCACGCCCCTTGTTAATTCTTGTTCGACAAGTGACCTAGAGCTGGGACGAAAATGGTGTGAACTTGATTGAGAGGCCAAACAGATCGTCGGATCATTTTAATTTTGTTCACAAGTTTGATTCTAATAACAAATGCAGCAAGTGATGTTTGGTCAATCTCTGCAGTGAGTTATCGGAGTTTGCAGTATGTTGTTAGCCAGCCGCTAGTGGTCGCTATATACCTGTCTTGACGGATCCACTATCTTCTGGAGGACTTTAAAGGCTAGTGTACATATTTTCCAAGACGTTGAAAAATCCGTATTTTCTGGACGTCGAAATCATGCTCATTTTTGGTTCTGAATGAAAGTTGGAAATTTTCTCTCATTCAGTGCTGTATGATCCTGCCTGACAAAAATACGTACTGTTACATGCTGACCACACCGGCTGCGTTGCGTGCACTAGCGTTGCAAAATAAATGTACACATACATGTTATTCCATCGTTTCATCCAAACTGCTTGCACGGGTCAACGGGCATCTGCGTAGCCAGGCGCTAAAATAGAATTTGGCTCTATTTTAGACGCTTGACGCGCTGCTAGTCCAGCCTCTCCCATCGCCTCATTGTTTTTTAGGAGCATATACCCACGGGGGTGATTGAAAGATGAACGCGCTCCACACTCCAGTCCAGTTGGTTGCAGTAATGCACCTTAAAGTTGGTATAAAATCCACAGAAGAAGAAGACTGAACTACTAGAGATTACTAGAAACAAACTAGGTTTCCTTTTATTTGCGGATTTTGTGTGACTCAAAATGGGTCGATATTCAACAAAGATCCAGCAAAGAAAAAGGACCTTGTACATTTCAGGTAAAATAACAACCCAATGTTTATATTTCAGGACAAATTAGCTAGCAACAGCAAGCTAGCTAGCTAAATGTCCATGAATGTTTCATATGTGTCCCAAAATGTATATAGTTGTTTCAGAGTTCGTTTTGATATTTCAACCTGCGTGTCCTGATCGCGTCTGGTGTGAATAGACAAACTCAACATGCGCACAATGGCGGACACACGCTTGGAGCCGGTTTGTCCATCATGTTACATGTTTTTGAGTTTTTTTTTTAATGTTGTTGCTATTGTAACCTGCTCGATGGAAAACAAGTGGGCTCAGGCATCGGAATTCAAATTTCTTGGGTCCAAGGTTCCTTGAAGGATTTTGTATCTTTAGCCCCTACTCTTGTAATTAAGTCCGGGGGCCAGCACAGATTCTCTTTGGGCTCACCATGGATTTTGCCTCAAATCCAATATGGTGTCCAAAATCCAATATGACTGCCATATTACCATTTGATGGAGGTTAAATCACATATAAATATGAATTTTGTAGATGAGGCATTTTTTTTCTGAATTGTGTACAGCACTCATGCCCATTCTGAATCCCAAATGGCCAACATGATGATTACACCTTCGCCTGCCTATAAGTTGCCCTTGTTTATTTTGTTATTCTGTCTTTAAAGGGTTTCATAAGGCTCTTGGTATATCTAGGAATATAAGTGGCACTGCCATCCCTTTGTTGTGCTTGAATAGCTGAAGCAAAATAGCTTATCAATGTGTGTTCATGTTTAAATCTCATTCAACCACTCTCGAGGGTGTCTCAGGGTGCGTGTAGCCTCGGCCGAGTCCCCAGCATCCGGATGTTCCAGTTTTCAGGGGAAATGGAAAGAGAGTCTGTGACCCGACTTCCACTTATGGATGTTAACAAGGTCACACTCCATCTTAACTCCTCTTCTACATTTACTGGATTGGTTGAAGAGTGCAGAGGAGAACCTCCCCGACAGTTTTTTTCCCCTTCTCGTCAAGACCAGTATGTAGGGGATCTAGTTTCAGGTGTTTCTTTTACGCCTGCTATGTTAGGTTGAGGTGCATATAATACATGTGTGAAATACTGTAGGTCAAATATACTAAACCAAAATATAAACGCAACAATTTCAAAGATTTTACTGAGTTACAGTTCATATAAGGAAATCAGTTAATTTAAAGAAATGAATTATTCATTCACTAATCTATGGATTTCACATGACTGGGAATACAGATATTGTTGGTCACAGATGCCACCCCAAAAAATAGGCATCACAATGGGCCTTAGGATCTCGTCACGGTATCTCTGTGCATTCAAATTGCCATCGATAAAATGCAATTGTTTTTGTTGTTCGTAGCTTATGCCTGCCCATACCATAACCCCACCGCTACCATGGGGCACTCTGTTCACAACGTTGACATCAGCAAACCGCTCGCCCACACAACGCTATACACGTGGTCTGCGGTTGTGAGGCTGATTGGACATACTGCCAAATTCTCAAAAACGACGTTGGATGCGGCTTATGGTAGAGAAATGAACATTACATTCTCTGGCAACAGCTCTGGCGGACATTCCTGCATGCCAATTGCACGCTCCCTCAAAACTTGTGGCGCAGCAGTCTAATACACTGCATCGCAGTGCTGAGGCGCCACTACAGTCTCTGGTTCGATCTCAGGCTGTGTCACAGCCGGCCCTGACCGGGAGCCCCATGGGGCGGCGCACAATTGGCCCAGCGTCGTCCGGGTTAGAAGAGGGTTTGGCCTGGGGGATTGCCTTGTCTCATCTTGCTCTGGCGACTCTTTTTGGCGGGCCTGTCGCCTTCAAGCTAACTTCGGTCGTCAGTTGGACAGTGTTTCCTCCGACACATTGGTGCGGCTGGCTTCCGGGTTAAGCGAGCAGTGTGTCTTGGCAGGTCATGTTTCGGAGGACGCATGGCTCTCGACCTTCGCCTCTGATGAGTCTGAAGGGGAGTTGCAGCAATAATACAAGATTGTAACTACCAATTGGATATCACAAACTTGGGGAGAAAAAGGGGGTAAAAAATAAACTTGAGACCTGTGGCATTGTGTTGTGTAATAAAACTGCACATTTTAGAGTGGCCTTTTATTGTCCCCAGCACAAGGTGCACCTGTGTAATGATCATGCTTTTTAATCAGCTTCTTGATATGCCACACCTGTCAGGTGGATGGATTATCTTGGCAAAGAAGAAATACTCATTAACCAGGATGTAAACAAATTTGTCGGCAACATTTGAGATAAATGAGCTTTTTCTGCGAATGGAACATTTTGGGGATCATTTATTTCAGCTCATGAAACTTGGGACCATCACTTTACATGTTGCGTTTTATATTTTTGTTCAATGTATAAGCACTCACCAAATAATAATAATAATAATAATAATTATTATTATTATTATTATAACAATGGGCAGTTCCGCATGTCTTTCACGACACAAGCACATAGTAGCGTAACCAAGTTACAGGAAAGCAACCTGTAATACAACAATCAGCTACTCTAGCATACAGTGCATTCAGAAAGTATTCAGACCCCTTGACTTTTTCCACATTTTGTTATGTTACAGCCTTATTCTAAATTTGATTAAATAGTTTTTCCCCCTCATCAATCTACACACAAAACCCCATAATGACAAAGCAAAAACAACGGAAATATCACATTTGCATAAGTATTCAGACCCTTTACTTTGTTGAAGCACCTTTGGCAACGATTACAGCCTCGGGTCTTCTTGGGTATGACGCTACAAGGGGTATTGTGGGGTATTGTGTGGAGATTGATTAGGATTTAATTTTATCCATTTTAGAATAAGGCTGTAGTCAAGGGGTCTGAATACTTTCCGAATGCACTGTATACTCCCGCTTGGAGTTTGTCTAAAGGACTCTCAGACCATGAGAAACAAGATTCTCTGGTCTGATGATACCAAGATTGAACTCTTTGGCCTGAATGCCAAGCGTCATGTCTGGAGGAAACCTGGAACCATCCCTACTGTGAAGCATGGTGGTGGTAGCATCATGCTGTTGTGATGTTTTTCAGTGTCAGGGACTGGGAGATTAGTCAGGATCGAGGGAAAGATGAACGGAGCAAAGTACAGAGAGATCCTTGATGAAAACCTCAATGTCCTTGACTGGCCCAGCCAGAGCCCGGGCTTGAACCAGATCGAACATCTCTGGAGAGACCTGAAAATAGCTATGCAGCGACGCTCCAATCCAACCTGACAGCTTGAGAGGATCTGCAGAGAAGAATGGGAGAAACTCCCCAAATACAGGTGTGCCAAGCTTGTAGCGTCATACAAAAGAAGACTCGAAGCTGTAATCGCTGCCAACGGTGCTTCAGCAAAGTACTGAGTAAAGGGTCTGAATACTTATGTAAATGTGATTAAAAAAAAATAAAAAAAATTTTTCGATTTTTTTTTTCATACCTTTGCAAAAATATATATATATTTCTTTTTTGTTTGTCATGATGTGGTATTGTTTGGAGGCAGTTTGAAACTCTGTAGTGAGTATTGCATCCGAGGACCGACGATTTTTACATGCTTCAGCACTCGGCAGTCCCGTTCTGTGAACTTGAAATAATATGTGTGGTCTACCACATCGCGGCTGAGCCGTTGTTGCTCCTAGATGTTTCCACTTCACAATAACATCACTTTTAGGGGTGTCCACATACTTCTGTATATATAGTGTACTTATAATTCCTGGAGATATCAGGAGTCCTCTAGCTATAGAATGAAGCACCTATTGGCTTATTCAGTCATTTGGCCAGAATACATTTGGATCAGGTGTAGAATCGCTCAGTTGTGGAGGTTGGTAAATGTCTCTCCTTTTATCAGTTTGATCCGCTTTGCATATTTAGTCTGGTTTATCTGGTGTGTTGTTATGCGCGACCATAGCTAGGATTCCATCCAATTGGCAACAGATTTTCATGCAAATATTCTACAATCTCTATAAAATAATATGCAAATTTTTCCACCAGAGATGTGTCCATCAAACTGACTGGATGACATGGTGTACATAAAAAAACTTTTGTGGTTCCCATTCCCATAAAAAATACAAGTTAAATGGGTTTCCATCACATTTTGAACTGTACCAATGGTTTTGTCACAAAAACGGTTTAATTATATAGCAAATGTTCCCTGTCTGGTCTTGGCACGTACGCTCTAGCCAACAGCTCACAGATACATTGCGGGAAGGCTACCTATAGTGCATTCGGAAAGTATTCAGACCCTTTGACTTTAACCACATTTTGTTGTGTTACAGCCTTATTAAAAAATGGATTAAATAAAAAAAATTCCCCTCATCAATCTACACACAATACCCCATAATGACGAAGCGAAAACAGGTTTTTAGAGATGTTTGCACCTTTATTAAAAATCAAAAGCAGAAATACCTTATTTACATAAGTATTCAGACCCTTTGCTATGAGACTCGAAATTGAGCTCAGGTGCATCCTGTTTCCATTGATCATCCTTGAGATGCTTCTACAACTTGATTGGAGTCCACCTGTGGTAAATTCAATTGATTGGACATGATTTGGAAAGGCACGCACCTGTCTATATAAGGTCCCACAGTTGACAGTGCATGACAGAGCAAAAACCAAGCCATGAGGTCGAAGGAATTGTCCGTAGAGATCCAAGAGAGCATTGTGTCGAGGCACAGATCTGGGGAAGGGTACCAAAACATTTCTACAGCATTGAAGGTCCCCAAGAACACATTGGCCTCCATCATTCTTAAATGAAAGAGTTTGTAACCACCAAGACTCTTCCTAGAGCTGGCCGCCCGGCAAACTGAGCAATCGGGGGAGAAGGGCCTTAGTCAGGGAGGTGACCAAGAACCCGATGGTCACTCTGACAGAGTTCCTCTGTGGAGATGGGAGAACCTTCCAGAACAACAACCATCTTTGCAGTACTCTACCAATCAGGCCTTTATGGTAGAGTGGCCAGACAAAAGCCACTCCTCAGTAAAAGGCACATGACAGCGTGCTTGGAGTTTGCCAAAAGGCAACTAAAGGACTCTCAGACCATGAGAAACAGAATTCTCTGGTCTGATGAAACCAAGATTGAACTCTTTGGCCTGAATGCCAAGCGTCACGTCTGGAGGAAACCTGGCACCATCCCTACGGTGAAGCATGGTGGTGGCAACATCATGCTATGGGGATGTTTTTCAGCTGCAGGGACTGGGAGATTAGTCAGGATCGAGGGAAAGATTAATTAAGCAAAGTACAGAGAGATCCTTGATGAAAGCCTGCTCCAGAGCGCTCAGGACCTCAGACTGGGGCGAAGGTTCACCTTCCAACAGGACAACGACCCTAAGCACACAGCCAAGACAACATAGGAGTGGCTTCAGGACAAGTCTCTGAATGTCCTTGTGTGGCCCAGCCAGAGCCCGGACTTGAACTCGATTGAACATCTCTGGAGAGACCTGAAAATAGCTGTGCAGCGACGCTCCCCATCCAACCTGATAGAGCTTGAGAGGATCTGCAGAGAAGAATGGGAGAAACTCCCCAAATACAGGTGTGCCAAGCTTGTAGCGTGATACCCAAAAAGACTTGAGGCTGTAAACGCTGCCAAAGTACTGCGTAAAGGGTCTGAATACTTATGTAAATGTGATATTTCCGTTATTTTTAATAAATTTGTCAACATTTCAAAAAAACTGTTTTTGCTTTGGTATTGTGTGTAGATTTGAGGGGGGAAAAAACAAGTTCATCCATTTTAGAATAAGGCTGTAATGTAACAAAATGTGTAAAAGGTCAAGGGGTGTGAATACATTCCGAATATACTGTACATGAGATTATTATAGATGAGAGCGAGATTCTTTTTATTTGTCAAACAGCAGCCAAGCATCTATCGTCATCTCACCAGAATAAGACCCTCAATATTTATTGGAAAGGACCATTAAGCTCATTATTGTGCAATTTCATCATAACTTATTTCATCTGTAGTCTAATAAACTGCATGCTTTCCCGAGTCGTAGTGGGAGGACCACACAACATATCATCACGTGACTCCAAGTTTACTTCAATATGATGGTTATTATATCAGTATTTGCGCATAATGGCGTTTCCACCACCATTTCTCGCATAATTCATTTAAAAATGGTTGTATGGAAACCTGGTTACTGTCATTAAATTATTATGCTGCCCAACAGGTTTCTCCCCTTTTTGTCAGTGAAGTTCTGGGATCAAGAATCCACAGAGCCAGGAAGAGATGGAGGAAGGTATGACTTGTTTTTCTTATACCATAATATAAGTTGTAAACAGGAGAATGGTGAACTTTATCACCTGTTTTTTTTAAGCTGCTTAGTTGGTCTGGTAATGCTTAGGTGCATGGCACATTTCGTCAGTAGTATCTGATGATACACATTATTATTCTGCAGTTGTATAGTATTTTCATTCATTATTAAGATATTTTATACTCCCACAGATTCCGGGAGCCTCGACAAGTCTGACCAAATGACCCACGGTCAACCAACCTCTCAACAATCCATGTCTCCAAGTCAGTCATTCCAGTGTAACCATTGTGTCCTCCTCTTCAAATCAAAATATTTCCTCCTTGAACACATGAAGAAGGTGCATGGCGTTGATGTGGATCCTTCACAAAGTGAAGGGAGTTCTACTCCCTCAGAGAGTTCCACACCACCTCACAGAAGCACTCTCTACAACAGTTCAGAGGAAGTTTTCTCTTGCCGTCATTGTGTGTTTACGTCTTCCAGTTGGACAGTTATTATCAAACATGAACGAACGTATCACAAGGTGCTGGTAAGGGGTCCTGGTAAGGGTGGGACCTTAACACAGAAACAGTATTTGAGGGGCAAGCTTCTCAATGACAAAGTGTCACTGCCAGGTAAGAAGGACCACAAAAATGTGTCAGTACTCCAACGCAAACAAGGGAACGTGGGGAGAGTGAATTCCAAGTCTACCTTAAAAACCATAAACATTCATAGCTCTAGCTTATTGTTGAAGAACCTGCGAACTCAAGTGGGATCCTCAGGAAATTGTTCTAAATTCAGAGTCGTATCTGGAAGTTCAGCGCGTGGGTCATCTTTAAATTCCTTGAAACTGAATGCGTCCAACCTCCCAAGGCCATCACGTGCGCATCATGTGAACCTCATGTCAGATGCGCCTTTCCTTATCTATGACCAAGACAATGGTAAAGGTGTCTCTAAAGTAACTGAAGAGAGATTTCATACAGAAAGTGTACAGAAGGGCTCTCACTGCTGCTCGCTCTGCAACTTCTCTGCGACTTGGTTGGAAGATCTTCACACTCACCAGCGAAGTAAGCACAGTTACCTTTTTTACAGCATGGGGTCAAGTCTGCTGGACAGAACGGTGACAGAACAGCGGACTCTCAAACCTGAATCGTATAATGGAATCTCACTGACAGAGCCATTAGCTAAAACCACCAAGAAGAGGACGCGTGATGACACCCCTTTAAGTCCTGCTAAGAAAAATATCAAAACAAGCCCTGAAAGTACAGTCATCCAAAGTAAGGTATCAGGGGGCACTGCTTTCACCTTTGAGGTTAGCGAGGATGAAGAGGACGGGAATGCCTGGAGAACTGAACTAGATGCCTCAGGAAATGAAATGGATGAGCATGATCAGTTGGCAAATGGAGAAAGCAGGGACATCCCAAAAATACTTTATCGTTGCAAACACTGTGACTACAGTCACAAGTCATCTCGCAGTGTGAGCACCCATTACCAGAGAATGCACCCTTACATCAGATATGACTCTCAGTACATCATGAATCCAGATGATTGGACTGCCACCTTCCGTTGCTTGGAGTGTCCTGTTGATTTTGCCGCCCTTGATGACCTTAAGAAGCACTATAAGGATCATCACCCAGAAGCTCCAAATGTGTTCATGATGCGATCAGATCAGCTTGATTTGGTGTACAAGTGCTTTGCCTGCCCATTCACCATTTCTAATGGCAAATACTTGAAACCTCATTACAAAAACAAGCATCCAAAACTGAAAATGAGCAATCCCTTAATGTACTGCAATTTTACTACCAAGCCCTCTGAAAATGAACCCTCTAAATCGCAACATTTAGGGCAAACCTCCAGTCTAAAGAATGCAGAGGTTGTCTCTCCTGAGAGGTCTCTGACCCCATGTAAAGAAACTGTTAATATCACCCCTACATCCCCAAAAGCATGTTCTGCTTCCATGGGAGTGGATGAGGAACTGTACCACTGCAAATATTGTGTATACAGCAATAAGTCAGTGGATGTCATGCTTGTCCACTACCAAAAAAAACACCCGAAGGCAAAATTGATAATTAACAGCATAAAACAAGCATCTCTTGCCACTTCTAGGAAACCTAAGGACGAAACACAGGTGCCTCCTCAAAAGATGGTTTTGGAGCCATTCAAACTCCCAGAAGTTAAGTCCACCAACATTTCCCTCTCCAGACCCGATGTTGCACAGGAAGATGCAGAGAACATGTTTTTCTGCCAGCATTGCAACTATGGCAACCTCACAGTGAGGGGGGTGTTGAATCACCAAAGGTCAAGACACCGTGATCTCAAGGCTTCTGTTGAGCAGATACACCTCCATACTGCTGAGGTTCGTAGTCAAAGCAAAACGTCACAGGGCATAGGAATAGTCTCACCTAGCACTCCCCTCCAAAACTATGTTGCCCAGGAAGACATTTTAAAGCCATTCAAACTTCCAGAAGTGAAGTCTTCTAACACATTCCCTCCCATATCCGATGTTTCGCAGGCAGATGTTGAGAGTCCATATTTCTGCCAGTTTTGTGACTATTGCAACCCCACAGTGAGAGGCATTATGAATCATCAGAAGTTAAGACACAGGACTCGTAAGTCAACTGCTGAAAGGATCATTAAACATACTGCTGTGATTTGTAGCAGCCCCAATGTGAGAGGTGGTTTGAATCATCAGAAGTCCTCACACAGTCATCTCAAGGTGACTGATGATAATGTCATCAAGCATACTGCTGAGGTTCATGGTCAATGTGAAAAGCCTCAGTTTACTGAATTTGACTCCTCTTTCAAATCCACTGTTGAGAATGAGGTAGCTGACTTGTTTTTCTGCCAGTTTTGCAACTATGGAGATCCCTCAATGAGAGGAATTTTTAATCATCAGAAGAGAAGACACGGTCAACTCGAAACAACTCCTGATGACATCTTCAGGCATACTGCTGAGGTTCGAGGGCTAACGAAAACATCAACAGAGTCTAAAAGAGTCAACTCAACTAACTCTTCTCGCATCTTATCTCTTCCTCTTGTGACGGAAGAGGCTGTGTTATTCTGTCAGCTTTGCAACTATAGCAATTCAACCATGAGTGGGGTTATGGATCATCAAAGGAAAAGACATCCTGATCTTAAGGCAACTCATAAACAAATCCTTGAATATACTGCTGCTATGATTTTGGCCCAAACTGGCAAATCACCTAACTCATTCTTCTTAACATCTGATGTTTTCCAAGAAGAATTAGAGAAGTTCTTCTGCCAATATTGTGATTATAGCAATTCTACAGTAAGGGAGATTTTGAATCATCAAAATAAAATGCATGGTGATCTCGAAACAAACGCTGCGCAGATCTTAAGGCATACTGTTGTGGTTCAAGGGCAAACCAAACAATCTCAATCAAAAGCAGTCCACTCACCCAACTCTCCTCCTATCTTGTCTCATCCTCTTTTGAAGGACGAGGTTGAAGACATGTTTTTCTGTCAGTTTTGCAACTATAGCAATACAACAGTGATTGGGGTTTTGAATCATCAAAGGAAAAGACACCTTGATATGACACTAACTGCTAAGCAAATCCTTGAATATACTGCTACGGTTATGGGCAAAATGGGCAAATCCCAGCCAGTACGAGAAGACTCCCTTAACTCATCCCAAGAAGAAGAGGGGAAGTTGTTTTACTGCCAGCATTGTGACTATGACAATCCCACAGTTAGGGAGATCTTGAATCATCAAAATAAAATGCATGGTGATCTCGAAACAAACGCTGCGCAGATCTTAAGGCATACTGTTGTGGTTCAAGGGCAAACCAAACAATCTCAATCAAAAGCAGTCCACTCACCCAACTCTCCTCCTATCTTGTCTCATCCTCTTTTGAAGGACGAGGTTGAAGACATGTTTTTCTGTCAGTTTTGCAACTATAGCAATACAACAGTGATTGGGGTTTTGAATCATCAAAGGAAAAGACACCTTGATATGAAACTAACTGCTAAGCAAATCCTTGAATATACTGCTACGTTTATGGGCAAAATGGGCAAATCCCAGCCAGTACGAGAAGACTCCCTTAACTCATCCCAAGAAGAAGAGGGGAAGTTGTTTTACTGCCAGCATTGTGACTATGACAATCCCACAGTTAGGGGGGTTTTGAATCATCAGAAATTAAGACATAGTGATCTGCCAGCAACTGCGGATCAAGTTGTCCGGTATACTGCCATTGTTCGCAGCTCAAATAAAAAATCAATAACCCAACAACCTAACAAGTCCTCCATGAAAGCCTCACAATCTCGCACGCAGAAAGCTGCTCCGCTCAGGTCCTTAAAGTGCCGCAAATGCTCTTATATAACTCCCCATATATATATTTTGAAAAGGCATCTGAGGAATAACCACCAAGAGAAAGCCCCAATCACAACAATTATACGTTGGGCTTACCAAGATGGCCATTTACAAGCAGGTTATCACTGCGAGTGGTGTGTTTGTTCACACACTGAAGCGAAGGGACTTCTCCGGCACTACCGGCAACGTCATCCAGATAGAAATACTGGACTTGAGTCCATCATCCTGAGGTTACATGCCGGCCCTAAGACTTCTCGATCTAAAAAAACTAAGCCTAACCCAGAGCGCAATGTTAAACATGAAAATATTACCCTCAGGTTTGGGGAAGTTCCGAAGACCTCCCCATCATTTCAGTCCGTGGAAGGTGACACAAAAGTCTATCCATGCCGAGCGTGTTCCTTTAAGGCTACTTCAGTGGGGGGTATCAGCAGCCACTACCGTGTAGTTCATCCATGGTCTGTCAAGGAAGATGGGTCTGTGTTAGATGTCATTAGTAGTAGGCAGACCCAAGAACAAGTGGTCCATAAACAGCTTGATGTTCATGAAACCTCGAGGTCAAGCGAGACATATAGGTGCCCTGTCTGTTCAGGAGAGTTCAACACCCGCCATGGTATGTTAACTCATTGTGGAAAGAAACATCCGGAATATGATACATCAACTTATGAAAAGGAACCTGAACCTAGTACAGATGATGGGACTCTGATATTCAAGTGTTCAATCTGTCCGTATGTGAACTCTCGCCCTCATGGTGTTCTAACTCACTGCCAGATGAGGCATCCAGCCATCAAAGCCAGAACTGAGAGACTTGAACAAGAAATTGTACACTTCAGTGACCCAGATGAATGTGTGAAAGTCCGATCGGGTAAGAGGGTGGGATTGGCAGGCTTCCGGTGCAATATGTGTCCAGTCATCCATGCAAAATTCAAGAAGTTGAAAGCTCACTATGAGATGGATCACAAACGATCTGCCTTCAATATGTTCAAACCGGCCTTGAAACAATCCGCTGCCATTAAAAAACAACTGCTCTCCAAATACAGAGGCTCCCAGACCTCAATTGCCATTTTAAAAAATAGGAAATCCATCATATTCAAGTGCCACCTTTGCAAGTACTTTTGCACCACTAAAAAGGGTCATGCCCGCCATCTTCGCATTAACCACAGTACAGTGGCTCCAATTGAGGACAAAGAGTTTTCCTACAAGTGTGCACTGTGCTCGTATACAACTTTGATTTGTAAGTACCTTGCAGCCCACTATAGGAGGCAACATGGCAATGCTGCTTTCAACAACCACTTCGTTCCAGCATTCAGACCTCACCGCATTCCTCTAACCTCACCAGACCATAAGGCTTCTTTGAGTCAGGAAACCAGATCACCTGGTGAGAAGATAAACTGTTCTCGCTGTTTTTTCCAATGTCTTAATGAAAAAGGCATGGTTTCCCATTATGTGATTTGCCATCCAGGAGTCTCTCACAGCATGCACAAATCTAGCGAACTCAACCTGAATAACACAATGCACTCTCCCCCCAAGCCCAGAAATCGTCACCGGCAACAGAAACCTGTCTGCAAATTATTTGATCCACAATGTGAGAAAGGCAGTGCATTGCGTCCAGTTAAATGCAAGAAATGTGTGGAATTATTCTTCAACTCAAATCTCCTGCTAAGTATACACTACACCAATTTCCACAACGAAGATTTCAAACAGGACTTCACTATACTTTCAAAGACTTCAGAGAATGGCACAGAGGTCTACAGATGTGGATACTGTAACCTCCAAATCCAGGGCAGTGCAGACCTTGGCTCCCACCTCGACCATCATAATGAGGAGTTTCAGAAGCTGGAAGATGGACAGAAGAGTAAACAACACCTTAGTGAGCCGCCACTAAAGACCAAGTCTGTTACGGTAAGTGGCACATAATGCAGTAAAGTGCAAACCTATGGGCTTGTGATTGTTTGACAGATGGTAGTACTGTACAACATTGGAAAAATACATCTGTGTTTTCCCATATGTAGCCTATGTGATTCTCAACCTTAATAATTTATTTGTCTTTCAGCATGAAAGACAAGAACTGCCCGATGTTCTGATGACAGAGGAATCGAACAGTCATTGGATTGTGACAAAGGTGGAATCTGTTGCAACAGGGATGGGTCCACTGGTGTCCCCTTCCCCTGTCCCGTCGACAACAGAACCAGACGGGGGGTCAGCAGGAGAGGAGCGCAAGCACTGCGGGCAAACGTTCATGTCTTTGAAAGGTTTACGCTCACAGGGGCGGAGCCATGCAGCTACGGCAGCGCTCAAACGGCTGGACAACGTACCTCATCAACACAAGCAGATGTAAGAGGATTGTATATTAACATTTACATCAGAGGAGAGTATTGATAGTATGTGATTTATTTTATTTTGTAATGTTACCTTCTTAGGTACCACAATACAACATTATTTCTTGTTTGTATATAAACCATAAAGATTTACTTAACCATCTGAATAAATCAATTTGTGAAATGACTGCTTGTCTGCAAATCTCCTAAGGTTTGACCGCCATATTAGACTTCGACCTGGGACCATCAAACCCTTCCACTGTGGGCTCTGTCGGTACAGAACTACCATCTTGAGCCTCTTGAAGAACCACCTGCTCAAAGTACATGGCGGTGAGGCAACCTTACTAATATAGCACACTGTCACTAGCTGGCTACCACCCAGCTACTCAACCCTGCACCTTAGAGGCTGCTGCCCTATATACATAGACATGGAATCACTGGCCACTTTAATAATGGAACACTAGTCACTTTAATAATGTTTACATACTGCTTTACTCATCTCATATGTATATACTATATTCTATTCTACTGTATTTAGTCAATGCCACTCCGACATTGCTCGTCCTAATATTTATATATTTCTTAATTCCATTATTTTACTTTTAGATTTGTGTATTGCTATGTATTGTTAGATACTGCTGCACTGTTGGAGCTAGGGAGCATTTCGCTACACCCGCAATAACATCTGCAAAATATGTGTATGTGACCAATAACATTTGATTTGTCATGTCACCACATTTTAAGTATATATTTTTAAAAAATCTATGTTAATTTGACAGAATTTGATACTGTATAAAATGTCATTTGAAATAGCAAAAGCCGTAGAAAACATTTAAAACCTGTTTCCTTTTTGAATCTGTCTTGCTGGAGTAGCTGAGTATCCATCCAAGAACCTCCCTTCCTCCGTGACCGGTAGCCAGGACAAGGAACACACCCTGAGGGCCAATGAAAAGGCCCCTAACCTGCCAGAACCTCAGGAAAGCAATCACATGTCTGATGATTCTGAGGAAACAGACCTCACTGAAAGCAAGTGCTCCCCTTTACATTCATTGTTTGAATTGTAATGATTAAACTTCATGATTAGATTAGAACCTTTCCTATAAATGATCAAATGTGTTGTGCAGCATACAGACAAGAAAATCTATATTTTTGAAAAACTCATAACGTCTTGCATATTGACCCCGCAAGAGTATTTTGTCATTAGCACACCTCCCCTACCTTTCTTTAAATCAGAGAAGGCATCTGTTGAGTAACAATGTAATGTGGTACTAATATCCAGTGTACTTTCCCTTACAGAATCAGTGTACTTGGAGCCCCCAGATGTCCAGCGGCAGCTCAACCACTACAGGCAGGTGGCTCAGGCCTCCAGACATCCAGCCCAACAGGCCACCGCGACCACTCAAGATGGCTTATTCGTCTGTGAGTTTTGTATCTACACCTCAACATACATCAAGAGTATGCGCCGGCACTACATAAATCGGCACAATGGGAAAAGGCTTGTGAGGTGCAAGGACTGCTCATTTTTCACAGGCTTCAGGTAATATATTATTTTCAGTGGTATAATCTTCTCAAATGCCAATGTTTGCCTTTGCTGTGTCATAGTTGGTGCTTTGTATACACATTCCTGCTATGGATATCTAAATAATATAAAAACTAATTGAAGTGATTGAACAAGTAGCACCTGTGACAACAAGGGTTGCTAAATTAACTCCCTCTTTAAATTATGTACATCACTTCTTGGTCATAATTCTTTCCATCTATTAAGCCTCAATATGCTGTATTGCCAAATTAGTGTACATTTTTGTTCTCTGAATGCTTACATTAGGAAGAAGTTGGATATACACATAGAGACGGCACATGCCAGTAGCGCAACAGAAGCTCCTAAGGACCTACGCTGCCCTCTCTGTCTTTACCACACCAAAAACAAAAACTGCATGATCGACCACATCATCCTCCATCGTGGTAGGTGTTCTTGTAGTATTAATACAATATATGCCTTTATGACTATACAAAAGTATGCTTTATACATCCATGACACTCACTAGACACTTAATGTGACTAGACACTTAATGTGGCTGTCAACCATTTATTCTGTCAGATACTTATCAGTATCTTACCAGACTTTATGCTGCTGTTCCTGGTTTATTACATTTTTTTCCCAAACAGAGGAGCCGGTGGCCCCGATAGAGGTGCGTCGTCCAAAGCTATCGCGATATCTCCAGGGCCTTGTGTTCCGCTGCCACAAGTGCACCTTCACCAGTTCCAGTGACGAGAAGCTGCATCTGCACATGCTTATTAAGCACGACGATATCAAGCCTTACAAATGCCGACTGTGCTACTTTGACTTCACACAGCTGAGCGAGTTGGAGGCACACCTATGCGATAAGCACCAGGTTAGTGTTCTACCCTTAGGATCTGAGAGGACTGCATAGGTGTAAGCAATATGGTTGTGTATCCACCTTTTCCTCTGAAAGACTAGGTGGAATTTCTGTCATACTGCTTACACCTGCACTCCCATCAGAGCGACACAGTGCCTTGGTGATCAGGGTTGTTTCTGGATGAGCTTGTGTCTCTACACATGGACAGTGGTTCTGTTGACAAATAGCCCATCAAAGGTCACAACTAGTCGTATTCTTACACATTGTTTTGCTAATGTTAATTCTGAAAGTCTTTTCTACAGTCAAGTCTTCTCCGTTGAGTCATTTTTCCTTCTATATCTGATGTAAATATGTCTTCTGACTTGTGGTGTTCTCTCTTGTAGGTCGTGAGGAACCATGAGCTGGTGGGACAGGTCCATCTGGAGGAACTGGAGACCAGACTGGGCAGAGGAAGGAATGAGGAAGAACACAAGGAAGAAACAAATAGACATAGTGAGAAACAAGGGCTGGAGGAAGAGGGGGAGAACACTGACAAGCTAGGAAATAAAGACCAGGAAGAAACTAACAACAGACATAGTGAGAAGCGGCAGGTGCTGGAGGGGGAGAACATAGAGAAGCTAGGAAACAAAGACCAGGAAGAAACTAACAACAGACATAGTGAGAAGCGGCAGGTGCTGGAGGGGGAGAACATAGAGAAGCTAGGAAACAAAGAAGAGAAAGACCAGGAAGAAACTAACAAAAGACATGAAGAAACGCATGGGCTTAAAGAAGGGGATACCATTGAGGAAAAAGTGTTGGAGGAAAATGGGGAGAACATTGCCAAACAAAATTATGAATTTCAAGGACATGAGAACAAAGGGAACGTAGAAGAAAAATCCATGGACTGTGAGGAGAACCAAGGGCAACAAGATGAGGTGAACAAAGATGGAGATAATGAGGTATCAGAGAACACTGCCCAAAACAGTGAATTCCATGAGAGCCATGATTTTAGTTATGAGGAGAACAAGGAGGAACAATATGAGGAATGCCATGAGAAGTTCAAGAATGAGGACATGGAGATGGTAGAGGAACAATTTATGGACTGTCATGAGATGCCAGTGCTTGAAAATGAAGAGGGCAAAGAGGAAACACACAGTAATCATAGTGAGAAACAGGAACATGAGGAGGAGGTGAAGAATGACAGTCTGAAACCTGAGTGCAATACAAAACAGAAGCAAGGGCCTGTAGAAGACAACCCCATGAGTGAAGAGAAGCAAGATCATGAGATGGAGGAAAATGACAACACATCTGCCCCAAAAGGTATGTACATTTTGACATGATGAAACTATTGACATCCAATTGATCAAACTGTTTCTGGTTCCATGTTAGGTGTTTAACTCTGCTACGTATTCTATTACCATTCCTATTCTATGCCTCCACTACCCTGAGTATAGATGCCTCCACTACCCTGAGTATAGATGCCTCCACTACCCTGAGGATAATTCCATCGACCAGAAATGAAAATGCACTTTCATGCGAGCTCTGTGGCCGAACTCTCATGAACAGCACTGACCTGGAACGACATGTGATGCGCCATGGCTGGTAACTCTGTGTGTCGGTGCAACTGATAAGGATGTACTGACATGGAGGGTGTTGCTGCTTAGAAATGCTGATTTTAACAGCAAGGAGATTATGTGAATTTCAATTGAAATTATTGTCACTGGTTGCAAACTGTTGCATACGGTTTCCACCTGTAACTAGTCTTGACTGAGGAGACACTGCAGCTATTGTCATAGAGGACAAAAAGTCTGTCATCCTTGTATATTATGATCCCAGAATGACAGCAGTTCACATTTCCAATGACTTAGTTGTTTTGATGTTTTCTTAATATTTTCATCCTGTTGTCTTTTAAAATTTTTGTAATAAATGACTATCCTAGAACTATTGTTTTATAGATATTTCATTTGTGAAAACACTTCCTTGTTTTAAGGATATTAACTGTTTAACAAGAAATACTTTTTTTCTCTCAAAGATAGGGGCAAAATAGCCCCATAACAGCAAAGATATACCACCAAATTTTACAGTAGGTATTGTGTTATTTTCTGCTCATGTATTCTCATCAGACCAAACTACCGGTTCCAATCCAAGTGACAATGCTGTTTAGCAAACTCCAAGCTTTTACATTTGTTGGATGACATGAAAATAGAGCTCTTTGGCCACAAACCCCAGTGGTGGGTTTGGTGTCGAAATGAGAATGCATGAGCAGAAGATAACCCCATACCTACTGTAAAATATGGAGGTGAATCTTTGATGTTATGGGGCTATTTTGCTTCCGCTGGTCCTGGGGCCCTTGTTAAGGTCAATGGCATCATGAACTTTACCCAGTACCAGGATTGCCTATGCCAAAAACATGGTTGCCTCTGCCAGGAGGCTGAAACTTGGCCACGTGGATCTTCCAGCAAGACAATAACCGCAAGCACACATCAAAATCCACAAAATCAACATTTTGCAATGGCCATCTCAGTCTCCGGACTTGAAACCCATTGAAAACCTGTGATTTGAATTGAAGAGGGCAGTCCATAAGCGCAGACAAAGGATATCAAGGATCTGGAAGGATTCTGTATGGAGGAATGGTATAAGATCCATCCCAATGTGTTCTCCAACTCATAAAACATTTTAGAAAAAGGCTCAGTGGCGTTATCCTCGCAAGGTGAGGTATTGAAAATGGGTGTCAATAATTTTTAGCCCTACCTTTTTCAGAGAAAAAAAGTATTGTTATTATTGTTAGTATTATTACTTGTTAGCCTAACTGTATGTACAATGGATGGGGGAATTGAGGAGCGAGGCAACAGCTCCTTTAAATCTGCAATGACATCACACTCAGCCTATATTTAATAAATAAGAAGTATTTTTCTGATACAAGTAGCCAGTTTGTATTCATAGCTGGGCATTCAGCCTGGTCTCATAGACTAGACATAACATAGTAAAAGTAAATCCGGGACACTCAAATTAGTATGATATGTTAAGTTTGGTATGGTTACATAAGACAGTAAGTTACTTAATAACCTTTTTACGCATATTATCACATATTTGTGATCATTGTTGAGTGGTCCCTGCAGCGCACCATCGCAAATATGTGATTAGAACAGTAACAACAGAACATCTACATATGATGCAACAAACAAGTCTAAATAGCATTGTTGTCTTTAAAGGATCTAAATGTTTTGTAGTAATGGAAAATAAAAGGTATTCACAACTTTATTCCTCATTCCTTTTATTGTAAAAGATAAATGCAAACTTCATCATCCAAGCATCACACGGAACACATCCACAGCCAAACTCATTCCATAAACAGGTTGCGCTGACAAAAAACAAAACATAAGTTAGCGAGCTAACAGCTAGACTTCATCATGGCAGCCATGTTTGTTTATGTTTGATCCCAGAATGCCATTCACTATAAAATGCAAATAAACAAATGTATGTTTGACAAGCGAAAACTCCCTAATCCCAGAATGCCATTTACTATAAATCGCAAATAAACGAAGTGAAAGATGGCTGCGCCCATTGTCACTTTTCAGCAAATTTCAAATCTTCTATGTGCTTGTTAGTGTATACAAGAACCGGAGCACATGACTTGACCTGTCGATTACAGTTTTTGACAAATCACAAAGCAAATACAATGTTATCACCTTATAGATTATCACCTCAAATACAAGCCTATTGCCTAGCCGTAGTGTGAAAGCTAACCAGGGTTTGTTATTCAGCAATTACTGCGTCCAAAAAACCACAGTCGACTGCAGTTACTGCACTTTTATTGCAGTTTCAAAACTGCAATCTTTTTTTGGAAGGGGATGGGGGGGTCTGAGCTGGCAACCCTGAGTAACCATAGTTACAATCTAAATAAGTCCTGACAGAAAAACATAACTCTTGACAGACACTGATAGCCACTGAGTATAGAGATAATGTCTGGTTTCAAAAAGAAACGCCTCACTGATGAAGAGATAGGATAAATATTTTGTAAGTCTGATGAAGAATCTGTGTATGAGAGTGAGTTGGAATAATCAGATAGTGATAAGGAATATCTGCCCCAAACCTTCTGGACTGTGAGTGTGAGATATCTGAGAACAATGGTGCCACCCCAACCTTGGAGGCAATGAGCATCCCTCACCTTCTCAAGATGCTGGTGCTGCTGCCAATCTTGTAGGCTGTGAGGGAGAAGAAGTTGAAGTTGAGGAGGATGGTCCCCGCTGCTGGAGATCCTGTCACTTCACACCATCGGAGATAGACTTCAATGACGCCCTGTCTGATGTACAAACACCCTGCGGACCTCCTCAGAGGCAGAGTGTTTTAAACTGTTCCTTGATGAGGAATTGGTGGAGGGTGTGGTGCAGGAAACCAACAGGTATGCTTATTATCGTATTAGAGAAAAAACCCAAGGCTCTTTTCAAATGTATCAACATTTAGAATGCCTTTAGCCTACTAAATATGCATATTTGTTTGCAGGTATGCTCATGAACTGAAAGAGAAGACTGCCCCTGGCGTAAAAGGGAAGCTCTCAAAATGGGTGAACACTACCATCAGTGAAATGTACACCTTCCTGGTCACGGTGCTGCTGATGGGGCTGTGAAGAAGGGCTCTGTAAGGGACTACTGGACCACTGACTCCATGCTGCTGACCCCTTTTTTCCCAGGACCGCTTCCTTGTCTTGCTGAGAGCGCTCCAATTGTCACTTTATGCTGATATTTTAAAAAATGTAATTGTAAAATGTCTTGAAATCTATAACTTTGTATTGTATTTATTATGGATCCCCATTAGCTGCTGCCTTGTGTTGCTTCACAGTCCCCGCTGTTCCATAAGGTGTATTTTTATCTGTTTAAAAGATTTTTGTGCATTTTCTCTGTTATAATAATCTACACTGAGTTTACAAAACATTAGGAATGCCTGCTCTATCCATAACATGGACTGACCTGGTGAATCCAGGTGAAATCTATGATCCCTTATTGATGTCACTTATTAAATCTACTTCAATCAGCGTCGATAAAGGAGAGGAGACTGGACATGGATTGTGTATGTGTGCCATTCAGCGGGTGAATGGGAAAGACAACATATTTAAGTGCCTTTGAACGGGGTAGGTGCCAGGCACACCGGTTCAAGAACTGCAACACTGCTGTTTTTTTCATGCTCAACTGTTTCCCGGGTGTATCAAGAATGGTCCACCACCCAAAGGAGATCCAGCCAACTTGACACAACTGTGGGAAGCATTGGAGTCAACATGGGCCAGCATCCCTGTGGAACGATTTCGACACCTTGTAGAGACCTTGCTCCGACGAATTGAGACTGTTCTGAAAAGGGGTGCAACTCAATATTAGGAAGGTGTTCCTAATGTTTTGTACACTCAGTGTATAATGGGCCTTTGTCTGATCAGTGGGCAATGATCGCCCCCCTTACCAAGATGAGCTGACGCTGTTTTCCGATAATCTACGCAAACTTACATTCAAAGTCAAACACGGCATCAGCAAAGAGACCTGCTAATCAGTTAGACAGCCAAGATCATGGATCGTAAAAAACGGAAAGGGTGCCTACAAAAGTAGAAAGAGCACATTCTACATTGTCACCTCACTCAAAATATCCTATTTTTTGTGTTGCTAAAACCATAATTTGGTCAAACAGTCAAGTGCATTATCCTCATGATTCCTGTAATGAAAATGTCTGCTCCTGTGCCTGTGCCCTCGCTGGGGCCTGCTGCTGTGATGAGCGAGCCACTCTCCTCTTCCCCCCATGCGCTCGAGATCAGTGGGTATTACATTTAGAGTTAGCAATCTAGATAATGTGTTTTGAGTTTCCACTTCCTCAGGTGTTGAACCCCAAATGAATTAGCCTATGCTATTAGTTAGTGCACTTAAATATGTATGTAATTCATCTCTATTGAACTAAAAACAAATCCGGAAATTCTGGAGTTCTATTTTGACAGTAAAATAGCAACTATCGTCTAATTGCCAACCCGAAATTCATGACAATCACTGGATTAGGTTACATATCAAAATATCTTGAATCATGCATTCCTGCTTGAACGTGTTAGATGAAACAACCTATTTCTATACCTCAGTAGTCTATGTATTATACTTCTTAATAAAGCACTATGAACGACTTTATGAGATGATTACTCATGATTTGGGTCCGACCAAATCACGGGCTGGTGCCACCAACTGTAAAAGTTAGTGGCACTAGTTACACCAGGGGAAAGTGTTAGTCTGGAGCCCTGTGTTAGTAATGAACAGTTAGGGTAGGTGTTGATTCAGGGGAACACCTTGACAGGCATTTATTTACAACATAGCCTAAGTTGTTAGCTTGGCTTTTATAATGGAAACTCAGCAAAAAAAGAAACGTCCTCACTGTCAACTGCGTTTCTTTTCAGCAAACTGTGTAAATATTTGTATGCACATAACAAGATTCAACAACTGAGACATAAACGGAACAAGTTCCACAGACATGTGACTAACAGAAATTGAATAATGTGTCCCTGAACAAAGAGGGGGGTCAAAATCTAAAGTAACAGTCAGTATCTGGTGTGGCCACCAGCTGCATTAAGTACTGCAGTGCATCTCC